TTAACAAAGTAGAACTCCCCGGGTTTCCTGGCTGTCATCTTAATGAAAACAGATCATCAGGCCTGTCTTCCCTGATACTATGGGGTGGATTCAAACAGCCAACCTCTAGGGTCACAATCCAATTTAAGAACTGGGAAGAGGAAACTTAAAATTCCAATGAGCTTTCAAAAAACTATAATTAAAACAGTGAGCCCTGGTGATGTGGTGGGTTTTGCAATGGGCTGTTAACTGCAAGGTCAGTAGTTCAAAACTACCAGCTGATCCTTAGGAGGACGTTGAGAATTATTCCCTGAGCTGTACCCTTCATGAGCAGAAAGGCATGCATTACTTGTTGACCAAATGATATCCAGCCAAGAACTAAAGCAGATATCCCAAGTGAGAATTTTTTAGCCTTTGCACTAAATCAGCTTTTCTCAGCCTCAGCACTTCTTCACCTTATGGGCCCATCATTCTTCGGCCTTTGGTCTGCCATGTCTATTGTATGAAGTTCAGCAGTGTCCTTGCCTTCTGTTATTGGATTCCAACAGTACTCCTTCCAGTGGTGACATTTAAAACGGTTTCCAAACATTGGCAAATAGGAAATTCAGTTGTGCCAGCATATGCTTTCAGAGTTATTGCACTAAGTATACTAGGTAATTTGTTAAAGAATAGTTTACAGATCTTGGTTTACATTTTTCCCCCAATAGTTTTATTGGCACACAGTTTACATATCATACAATCGAGTAGTTCAATCATTCACTCATATCAAGGTCTTGGTTTACTTTTAAATAAAGGTGGGTGGCTGCAGACAAGTCCTCTTAGTAATGCACCTGTCTGTATCTCATTATGGTGCCTTCAAAAAACTTTAATCAGAAAAATGGCTTCTGGAGAGATCATCTGGGTCGGTTAATTTCCATTAAGAGTGAGCATGTGAGAAATTTTGGCAACTTTATCTAGACTCCCACGAGGAAGTCTTGGGTTAGTTACTGAGTTGGGGTGACTTCATGGCAGTGGATATTCTTGTTAGATTTTTTTTATTAAAAGATCATTTTATTGGGGGTTCTTACAGCTCTTATTACACTCCATACATCAGTTGTATCAAGCATATTTGTACATGTGTTGCCATCATAATTTTAATTCCCTAGTTTACCTTCTGTCTGTGGTATTGTTTGCTCACCGCTCCCTTTCCCTGCCTCCTCCTTCCTCAATTTTCTTGAAGCACACAGCATCACCATGGGGGTTTAGTAGGAAGAACCTTTAAGAAAATTGAAAACTGCACTGAGGAGAATTAGGCCTGGATAATTGTGCCCAGACAGTTTTTTCTTTTCCCTCATGACAGAGCATCTCCTCTTGATTCTGAAAGTAGCACGGTGGTCTTGGGAATAATTAGCCCGGATCGTTGTTAATTTTATTGGGAAACTTTACCCCATTCCAGACTACACAGCCCTGGTCTTGCCACTTGAGACTGATTTTTGTTCAGAGAACATGTAAAAGGAACATTATTTTGAGTCCCTTGAGGACGCTGAAACTGCCGTTGTGACTTGGTAGAAATTGAAGAATGCGCACTTGTTTGAGGAAGAGCTAGAGAAATGGACACACCCTCTTCAGAAATACAAAGATCTAGATGGGGGCTATGTCGAGAAAGAATAGTTTCACACGTAGAGATTTTTGTTTGATAGAGGTTTCCATGATTTGTAGCAATACCTTATGATTTACCCTCAGATCCTAAACGTATACACCATAGCAGTTCATGCTTGGCCAGGTTGTGTCTTAGTCACCTACCTAGTACCGCCGCAGCAGAAATGTCACCAGGGAGTGGCTTCAAAAATAGAAATTTATCTTCTCACCATTGAGGAGCTGAGAAGTCTGTCAGAGTGAGGGCTTTAGCGATCGCTTTCTCAGTCCGCTGTGGAGAGAGGTTCTCTTTGAGCCTCGGCTTCTGGGTGAATTTCAGGGGGCTTGGCTTCTCTAATCTCCAGCCCTCAGCTTTCTTGCTTGTTTAATCTCTTTTATATCTCAAAAGAGATTGATTTAAGACATACTCTAGACTAATCCTATCTTATTATCATAGCAAAGACAACCCCTTCGCAACGGGGATCTGAATTACAGTCATAATCTGTAGCGCCAGGATGGAATTGTGTCCACCACAAAGATGTGCTGTAAACACCTGGGGTTATTTATAATCCCATTGGGAAATATTTACAACATATATTTTGGACGGGATACAATTCATCCAATAGTCTTTTAAGTTCTTTATCTGGTCAGGTAGCACTTTGATCAAATACTCTTAGGCATTCCAGCTCTCAATTTGCAGTAGATTGGAGATTTCCTTTTCATTTTGGTTTCTGGTACCTGGTACCCATCATCTGGTTTGCAAGAGGAGGAAGCAGTGCACTCCAGTCACATACTTTAGAACATTCTTGGCACAGTGCTTGTGGGCTGTTCATTACCCCACCACCACCACCACCACCACCACCACGCACACACAAGATTCTGAAAAAGCTCCGTTTTAATTGTTTTCTGCATCACCGTGCATACAAAAGGCCCTGGTTTTCATCAGTTAGTGTTTGTTTTGTTAACTTGTAGAAACTGTGCTTTAAAGAAGGAAGCATAAGAAACTTTCTGTATATTGAGAATTAAAATACACATGAACAAAAAGACTCTCAAAGTTACCCCTAACTTTATGTTTGCACTCTTTTTGTACAATTCATTTCAAAGTGACAACTGTAAGCTAAATAGTTCACTCTGGGGAAGGAATTGGATGTGACAGTCTGCTATACTACGTGGGGCATTCAGCCTGTTTGTGGGAAATGCTTGGCTCTCTGTAGTCTGTTAACACTTTCAATCCGTTGAAAGGCTACTTTAGTTTCTATTTGTTAAAGAAGATCGTTCGTATTTTGAGTTATACCATTTATTCAGTCATTACTTTCTAAAGATAGAAACATCTCTAGAAACTGCGTTTTCATCCTTTGAATAGTAAGGGAACATTTCAGACTAGTTTCATAATGTTAGAAACTCTGTTTTAAGATAGTTGGCCTTTTTTCCCTTCAAGGTTAATGATTGCTCAAAAGTTATTATATTACAATTCTCTTATTTTCATAGTGGAGGTTTTTATACTCCTGTGTTTTTAATTTAGATTATATTCAGCCGAGATATTCAAGGTATTTTCATGGTAGTCAAGAAAAATTTCTGGTTATTTTTTTTCCTGGGTTGTGTTACATTCTGAGTTTCATATTTGCAAAAGACCAGTGGGCATATTACACAAAAACCCACATGTTTATTTGAAGTTACCCATACATATTATTCTATTATTGAACTGTGCATAGTTTTTGTGTATGAACTAAAAGCAGGTGTGGGAAGTATCCAAAGTTTAACCTTGATTCAGAGTTAAGCTTTATTTAAGATAATTGTTTAAGAAGCATGTCTCTAGCACTGAATTTTAAAGTAGACTGTGGAGCAATAAAACAAAGCAAAAAGACCAAACCCCCTGCTGTCAAGTTGATTCCCGTTTATGGAGTACCCAGAGGCACGCCCACTAGTCCTGCCCTGGGGCATTTCCAAGGCTGTAAACTTTTTGGAACCCTCTGGTGTCTGAGGTGGGTTTCAACTGCTGATCCATTAGCTAGGAGGGGAACACTTAGCTTAGTTTGTTCCATCAATGTGTTCTACCCCTCTTGTGCTTTGAGAATAAAATTTACCAGCAAAGGATATGATTTTTAAGCATTGTCATACGAATCTATGTTTTGGATTTTGGGATTTTTTTAGTCAAGTTACTTCTGAGGCTTATATGAAATTACTTTTTAAAAGGTTAAATGTACAGTTTCCGTACTCATTCAATTAAGCATTTATTTAGCACTCACTACTTGCAAGATACTGTGTTCAGTTCTTATAGGGCATCTGTTTTAGAATCTAACATTACTACTTTGAATAATTTGTGTGTGTGTGTGTGTGTGTGTGTGTGTGTGTGTGTAGATCCTGAACTATTCCAAAAGTGATTATAAATAACTCTTTTGAAGGAGAATATGCTATCATTTAAAAAAGGATGTTCTCATCTTATTAGAAAGAGATTCATTTGAATCTCACCCATCATTATGAAATACTAAATAGTATTATCGCAGCAGCACCCACAACTTCTAGAATGACCATTACATGTTACTTTCTAGGTGCTTCATAGAAGGGCAAACTTTATAGAAGACAAAGGGAAGAATGCAAATTTTTTTTTAGGATGCAAATATTTTATTTTTATAAACAATACATTAAATTACCTGAGTCTCCATGTCCAGTTGCTGAAGAAACTTGTTGAGTAAATAATGCTGCTAGCAAGATACTAAGGTCATTTTTAATAGGCATCTAAGCCGGTGGTTCTCAACCTTCCTAATGTCGCAACCCTTTAATACAGTTCCTCATGTTGTGGTAACCCCCTAACCATAAAAATACTTTCGTTGCTACTTCATCATCTGTGATTTTGCTACTGTTACGAATCGGGCGGCCCCTGTGAAAAGGTCATTCAACCCCCAAAGGGGTCGCGACCCACAGGTCTAGAACCACTGCTCTAAGCTTTTACTTTTCTTGTTACTTAATTGGGGGAAGATGAGTAGGAATCATTTAGATTATCCCAAAATGACATTCGTAATTAAATAGTTGAAATGGATTATATACTTATAAAACTTATATTTTTAATACTGATAATTCTTTTTACAAATTGAATTTCTTTTAAAAATTGGATTCTGAATATGCATATATGATTGTGCCCTGCAAAGTCGTGTTTACCACTGGTAACCCAGATTGGACAGTTCTTTGAAATGTTAAAGTAATGGTTCCTTTGACCTATTGGCTTCTCGTGACTCATATGAGTACGTGTGCCAAGAAATATTTCTTCTCTTGTGTAAGGAAAGTGTTGTTTTGCAATGTTAGATATCTTACGTATTTTATATATTCAGAGAAAAAATACCAAATGTAATTATAATGTAATTAAAGATGTAAGAACAAGTTATCATTTATTTTAACTTTTTTTTTTTAAGGTGATGGATGTGGACACACCGTACTAGGCCCTGAAAGTGGAACGCTTATGTCTATAAACTACCCGCAGACCTCTCCCAATAGCACTGTGTGTGAGTGGGAGATCCGGGTAAAGGTGGGACAGAGAGTACGCCTCAGGTTCGGGGACATTGACATTGAGGATTCTGATTCTTGTCACCTTAATTACTTAAGAATTTATAATGGAATTGGCATCAGCAGAACTGAAATAGGTAGGACATTTTCTTTTCTTATCAATGTACTTATAATGATGCTTCATTGTTCCGAATTTATGAAAATTTTGATAGTCCACATTTAATGTCTATGCTGTCTAAAGTGAAATGTGAGAAATCATTGAGAACATGTATTTGACTTGCAGAAAAAGAGACTATTATCCTCTTCGTCTTTTACTTGCTTTTCAAATCTATTTTGTTGGTATTTTTTCACAAGACACCACAGTATTATTTCTAAGGAGGAGGAGGTTAAAAACATCTTACTCTTTGTACTTTACTTTTCTTTCCCTATTGTATTTCAGTTGAAGATACAAGATGATTTATGCTTAGGATGTGGTATCGCTGAGTGGCTAAGATCTAAACTGGCTTTGGGTCAAATCTTAACTCAGTTATGACATTGCTGTGTGAGCTTGAGCAGGTTACTGGGGGGTCTGTCACAGCATTTGTAAGATAGGGAATGAGGGGATCACGTGTGAAATGCTCAGGGCAGGACTCACACATCATGCATGCTCATAACTGGTTAGCTGCGATTGCAATTATTCTTTGCTAGGAGCCTGTTAGTTGTCAACTCATGGGCACCCCCATGTGCAACAGAGCAAAATGCTGCCTGGTTCTGTGCCTTCTTCTCAATCTTATACTCAAGGCTCCATTGCTATAACCACTATGTATTTCCAGGAGCCCTGGTGGCATAAGTGATTATTACTGCTAACCTCAAGGCCACCAGTTCAGAACTACAAGCCATGCCTTGGGAGAAAGAAATCTTTCTGCTCTCATAAAGAGTTACTGTCTTGGAAACCCAAAGGGGCATTTGCACCCTGTCCAGCCGGGTCACTATGGATTGAAATTGTCTGTAGGAAGTGGATTTAAGGCCAACCTAGGGGACTTATCTTCCAATAATATATCAGGAAAAAAATCTGTTGTGATCCATAGGATTTTTTTCTTCTTCATTCTTTAGTCTGCCAGCTGCTACGTGGAAGAAAAAGATGAGATTAACTGCTCCCATGAAAATTGTATTACCTTGGAAATCCTAGATAGCGCATTTGGGTTTTGGGGGGATCACCTACACTACAGGATAGGACCATGGCCTACTGTCCTGGCTCCTGATTGGTGTTTCTCAACAATTTTTTATTAACTTGGCAGCTTGGTCACCACTATTGAAGGACAGCTGGATGTACTTGCTTCCTGAGGTGATGAAGTAGGGAGGGGGTAATACTGCCTGCCAAGCACTCGTACAGCAATACACAAGGTGGATCCATAGTTACATTAAGCCTTTAGCAATTCACAGGGAGAGAAGGACACGGGGAAACACATTAAATGAACCATAAGGATTTGATGAGCCAAAAAGAGTGTGAGACATTTTGCAGAACAAGTGACCTAGTTTCTTCAACATATAAATAGCGTTGCGAAGAAAAAGGAAGAGGAGAGAATTGTTACAGGTTAAGAGACATTATCTTTGATGGGAATGTGTTGGCTTCATTTAGATCTGGATTTAAACTCACTGTGTTAGTCTGGGTACTTTAGAGAAACAAATCCACAGAAACGTTTAAGAGAGAGTTTTATATAAAGGCTAAATGCGCATCAACATTCCTACTCAGTGCTGCCCAAGCCCACAAGTCCAACATTAACCAATATGTCCGACACAAATCCACAAAGCCCTCCTTCATCTCACAAAACAGATGCAATGATGCCAACTGCAGGAGGAAAGCCGAGTCAGAGAGCGTGTAAGCATCTCAGCGCTGGCAGGGGTCTCCACATGGGTGCTCCAGCACCCAGGGCTGCATCGGGGTAGGTCCATGTGACTTCTCCTCAGGGATGTCTTGCAGGAAGTGAGCCTTGCCAGCTGAAGCAGGCTAAGGCAGCTGCACCCTGGTCCGACCATCACAAAGCAAGAGACCTGAGAACTAGAAAGGCTAGGCTCACAGAGCCATTTATCCCTCTTCACTTCAGTTAGCCCCACATGTGTTTATTGGCCAGGTTGGCACAATAAACTAACTACCTCACTCACCAACTACAAAATGACTTAATTTTTAAGAGTCCAAGAAATTTTAATAGGGATTAGGCATTTCCGTGATAGTAAAGAGTGATTGTTTTCAGTGTGTTGATGGTCTCTAAGGACCCTTAATGGTGCAGCGGCTAAAGCTGCTAACTGCAAGGTCAACAGTTCGAATCCACCAACTACTTCACAGGAGAAAATGTCTCAGCTTGATATTCCTTAAAGGTTTATAGCCTTGGAAAACATTACAGGGCAGTTTTACTCGGTCCTATATGATTTCTATGTGACAAAATCAATCTTATGGAAGTGGATTTGGCGTATGTTATTGAAATTTTTTGTTATGTTCTGATTTTTTAGAGATTCATTCTAAAGTTCATTAAAAATTATGCCTAGAATTTATTTTAAATATGCCAGGGGGAAAATTGGTAAGGAGAGGGATAGATGGCATATTACAAATAGCCAGTGGCATATTGTTGACATTGAATAATGGATACTGTAATGTACATTTCCCTCTCCCTACTTTTATGTATTTTTAAAAATTTCCATAATAAAACTATTTTCGTCTTTAACAAAAGAAGAACACCATCTCTTACCACAGTAAGTCATGGCATGGTTGCTTGAGAGTGAAAGTAACATGGAACATAATTTACCTCAAAGGTCTGACCACCCCTTCGCATTTAACTTGCTGAGGGTGCTTTCTCCGTCATTGCTCGTGCCCTGACTTCAGAGTCAGCGCTCCTGCTTTGTGGACATCGGGCGGTGGTGTAGGTGCCAGTCAGCCGGTTCTGACTCAGAGCCACCCAGTGTACTGCAACAAAGCATTGCCTGGCTCTGCCCCATCCTCACAATTGTTATCTTTGGGCCCATTTTTACGGCCACCACGTCGGTCTGTTGTTTTGAGGGTCTTCCTCCTTTTGGCTAGCCCTCTTCTTTACTAGGAAGGCTGTCTTTTTCTAGGATTTCTTGATAAATAGGACCAAAGTCCATGACGGTCTCACTATCCTTGCTTCTAAGGAGCATGTTGGCTCTTCTTCCGTAAAGACAGATTTGTTTGCTCCTGTGGTAGTCCATAGTACTGTAAATACTCTTCATTAGCACCACACATCACTTCTTCATTGTCCGGGTTCTGTATGCATGTCAGGTAATGGGAAATTCCAGGAAATAGTCCTCCAAGTTATAGCTTTGCTCTTCAACCCTTTAAAAAAAGTCTTGTGTAACAGATTTGCAGTATAACATCTTTTGATTTCGTGACTCCTGCTTTCATGAAAATTGATTGTGGCTCCTAGTATCCTGATGTTTTCTATTGCTGCAGGTTTGTGAGGACTTTGGTGTTCTTTGTACTGCATTGTGATCAGAATGACGACAAGCCTTTGCTTTTCTTCAGTCATTGCTTCAAGTCCTCTTGACTGATTGAGCAAGAAAGTTGCGCCTGCGTGTCATGGATTGTTAGGAGCCTTCCAATTCTGATTCTTCTTCATATAGTCCAACTTCCTGGATTATTTTCTCAGGAAATAATTCAGTAAGTATGGGGTATGCTAGTTGTTTAGTAGTAGATTTCAATTCCCTTCTTTCATTTTTTGCCACTTCCTCATTCTTGCTGCACATGGGCGAGTGGAAAGCTGCAGCAAGGGCAAAGGGAGAGACCCAGTGATGTTTCTTTTGGCCATTCGTTGGGCTCCCATTACCACCTTCCATGTTATGTTTGCACTGGTGCTGCATTTTGGTAGTAGTTTGTGGTTAGATGTAAAAAGGAAAGCTTCTGGACATATCACAATGAGATAAAAAGACTATTTGAAAAGAGGTGTGTGATGTTCTCCTTTATATAGATCTATAGCGAAGTACAGAATAGAAGCAAATCAATGTGGGCATCAAGATTTTAATGATAAATGGTCAGAATCTCCTATATCAACTCCTCCCCTTCAGAAAAAAGCCTGGCCCAAATGAACCTTATTTCCCTATAAAAACAGTTCCTGAAGGTTTTGAGTTTTATGTAAGATGGTGTTAATTTTAGGAACTTTTTTCCCTGAGGGAGATTATGGAATAATCAGTAAATTGAAATGAAAGGGAAACGGACTTCACAAGTTTTCCTGTTAGTCCACTAGGAAGTAGGGCAGTTGCTTCCTTTTCTCTTAGAAAGGATTGTAATACGTAATATATTAGTATACTTGGGTTTTTATGGCCTTATATAATTTTGCTTTCTAAATTGCTAACCTGCCCAGAAGCTTATAAGATAACTTGGTATAAGAGCCCTCATTCACATAGAGCCACTGGTAGAATGGTTTTAATAATACTGTTAAGGTTGGCTCTCTATTCTGAATTCTTTACTTTTTTTTAATAACTAGTTTTTCTTGTGGTGATAGCATAGACTCACATCCACAAAAATACATTCTTTCAGATACTAAGCACTTTTTTAAATTTAAATTTTATTTTATTTACATCTCTTATCAAAATCCACACATACATCATTTTGTCAAACACATCTTTACATATGTTGTCATCATCTTTTTCTTTCTTTTTTTTTAAATTAAATAATCATTTTATTAGGGGCTCTTCCAACTCATCACAATCCGTACATACTTCATTTGTGTCCAGCACATTAGCACATATGTTGACTTCATCATTCTCACAACACCCGCTTTCCACTTGAGCCCTTGGTGTCAGCTCATTTTTCCCTCTCCCTGCTCCCCCCTCCCCCCTCCCCCTTGATAATTTATAAATTATTATTATTTTATCATATTTTACCCCATCTAACGTCTCCCTCACCCACTTCTCTGCTGTCCGTCCCCCAGGGAGGAGGCCATTTGTAGACCTTGTCATCTGTCCCCCCTTTCTCCCTCACCTTCCCTCCACCCTCCTGCTATCGCCACTCTCTCCACTGGTCCTGCGGGGTTCATCTGTCCTGGGTTCACTGTATTTCCAGTTCCTAGCTGTGCCAGTGTACATCCTCCGGACCAGCCGGATATGTAAGGTAGAATTGGGATTATGGTAGTGGAGGGGGAGGAAGCAT